GCCAGTGCTGAAAAGGGCGGAGTGTCGCAGGTGGCAGGAGCAGCAAGTGCCAAGGTCCTGGGGTGGGACTGTGTAGGCTGTGCTCCAGGAGCAGCAAGGAGGATACCTGGGCTGGTCATGGGGAGCAGAGGACAGTCGCGGGAGATGACCGAGAGGTGGGGGCTAGATCATGGAGGGCCTTGTCATTCACGGTAGTGGCCAGGAGGTGTGTGCCTAGATGTCCCCTGGGAAGTGAACCTGCCATGAGAACCACAGTTATGTGACAGCCTCCGGCAGGAGCTCCTGGGGGGTCAGCCGGTGTGCAAAAGGAGGACACCGCCTTCCTGGGCAGCCCCAGGCAATGACTGAACTGGGTGGGAAGACTTGGGCCGGACCAATCAGCTCAGTGCGCGGCTGCGCTGAGGGGCGATCTTTGCTGTCGAGCTTCCCACTGGACTGTCCTGGGCAGCACTGCGTCGGTTCTCTGGAGAGACAGCACCCGTAGGAGGTGTATCCGTATACCTGTATATCTACGCATCTATTCCTACAGATAGACAAGTGTAGGTAAATAAATAAAGAAGCTTCATTCTGAGGCACTGGCTCCTGGGATTACGGAGTCTGAAAAGGCTCCCTACCTGCCACCTGCAAGCTGGAGATCTGGCAAAGCCGGCCACGCGGAGTCTCAGCTGGGCCCGAGGCCTTTCTCCACCTTTCTGTCCCCTTCAGTCCCTCCACGATTAGAGGAAGCCCAGCCACTTGGGGGAGGGTCATCCGCTTTACTCAGTCTGCCAGTAGGAATGCTAGTTTCTTCCAGAAGCACAGTAACCCTCCTGCTCCCGGGTATAATGGTTAAGGAGGCCCCCAGGCACTCGATGGTCCTGTCGAGTGACCGTGAAATGAACCATCACAAGCACTGGTCTCCAAGGCACTTCCATCATGATGTGCCTTCCTTTCCCAGGTGTCAGGCCTGCGTGGTGGCCTAGGAGGCTTCGGCTGCCCTGGCCCTCCAGTCCCGCTCCCCTGCAGTTTTCACAGGTGTTGCCACCAGGACTCTTGCATTTCTAATTACACCTGGTTTCCGTCTCCGAGAGAAGCCACCCTGACAGGGGTCCTGGAAGTGGTTTGAGCAAGCGAGTGACGACGTGGGGGCTGGGAGTGGGTTAGGGGTGGAGTTACCTAAGCAGAGATGGCTATGCGGCACACACTGTGTCCCCACGAAGGAAGAATAAATGGGTTTGGGAATCAAGGGGCAGAAGTAGAAGCGTCTGCACCACTAATGGCCCACTGGGGACTTCGCTCTTCCCCTTCCTGGACTCAAGGGAGGTACTCTTTCCATGGACGCAGAAAGGGTCCTGGTGAACTACCAGCCAGGGCCGCCCCCTGGGCACTTGGAACGTGTTCAGCAGGCAGACAAGGAGTCTCCAGCTTGGCAGGGGAACTGACACTGGTTAGCAGGAGAAGGGCGAGGTGTGCGGCATCTTCTCAGAACCGTGTAAGGGCGCCGCCTTTCGGTGAGTGCAAGAGTCACCAGATCCCGCACCATCTGGCCCCGTGTCACCTGTCTCACCTCCTTCCATTTTCTCTCCCTGCCCTGCTCACTCTCCTGTAGCCACACTGGTGTTTGGGGAACACAAAAGTCACCAGCAGGTGTAGGGTCTTTCTTCTGGCTTTCCTTAGACAGGAGAGGAAAGACCAGCGGAGGGACCTCAAATGGGAGCTGGGGGGTGGGGAAAGCTCTGTGTGGGGAGCCGACCAACAGCCGTCCCTTGACACAGTCGGGACGGATGAGATGCGTCTGTACAGCAGAGGCCGCTGTGGCTGGACTTCCTGTCTAGCTCTCCTTGCATGTTTGTTTTTGTGATTAGTAGGTGGTGGGATTTTTAGACACCTGTATTTCAGGTCCAATGATCTGCAGAATTCCAATGAAGTTGTACAGAATGATTTCTTGGCCATAGAACAAAAGTCCCCCTGATGGGGTAGCCCCTGAAAGTCTAAAAGTTGATGGGGTAACAGCCCCTCCTCTACCTTGGACAGGAATATATATTAATGGGATTAGACGGGTAAAGAAGCAGAAGCTGGTTAACTATTACAAACTGAGCATGTAGAAACAATTACTGAGGAGTTAGAGTCCAAAGTACATAAAGTAACATTTTAGACAGAAAGATAGATAGCTAAATTAGACACCACAAAGGCCTTGTAATAAATTTCCTATAACCACTGTTCAGTCTAGCATATCCTTTTGACCCATGCCAAATTCTAAGAACTTTAATAAACAATAAGACATTTAAAACTCTGTACGCACAGCTATTTCTAATCGATTAATGGCTCTCCTGGTCAAAATAACCTTTGTCTAACATAACTGAATCTATGGAATTTCCTGTACTTTTCCTAGTTGCCTCTGTATTGATTTTTTCTCCTTAACTGATCATGCCATGCACCTGTTCCTTTAATGTTATGTTACAATCTCTATAACAATAAATCTTAAATCAAACTATGCGAGTTTGGTCAGACCCACAGAGGCTGGCTGTTCTCCAGCGTCCAACCAGGTGTCTGACTTCATTTGTCACCTGCGCCGTCCATCCTTTGGAGATCCTGAGCCCTGCTGAGGCTGGCCCCTGGCAGTTCTGCATTACATGGGCCCTAATTTGTGTAGAGTTGAGTGCTGAGCTATACCTTTAATTCCTGCCACAGGCCTCCTCGCTTAGGAATTTCTCACTGGATTTTTTTTCTATGTACCCACTGATTACTGACCCATAAGAATCTATGTAGTGGACTGAGAGAGAAGACTGAGGCTTCCCGGAGAATTGACAACAATTGCTAATAACAGCAGGCATTTTTGAGGTATTGTGAAGTGCTAAGCCCTGTATATACTCTAGCTCATTTAATCCTCATAAAATCCCTAGGAAGGTGCTATTATCATCTTCATTTCACACATGAAGAAATAGAGGCTCAGAAGGTGAAGTGATATGCCCAGGTCATACCTCTTGTAAGTGGTCGGATTTGAACACATCAATTTATGAGAAAGAGATCATGATTACTGCCATTCATTCATTTACCCACTAATGTAATCATCACACACTGAGAGTTGATTAGTCTCAGGTCTCGACCTAAGTTTTCTGATTCAAGGTGAACAAATAGGGGCCTTGGGTTCACGGAGTGTATTGTCTAACAGCGTAGCAGGATCACGCATCAGAGGAGATCGGGTCTCGGATGGGAGCAGACACAGCAGGTGCTGACACTGAACTTTTGCAGAGACTAACAAAGATTATCTTTGACCTAGACCAGGGTGTCAAACTCATTTTCACTTGGGGCCACGTCAGCCTCGTGGTTGCCTTCAAAGGGCTGGATGTAGTTTTAGGACTGTGTCAATGTAACTACTCCTTAACAGTTAAGTGAGAGCTCGCCGCTGCTGCTGAGTAAAAACAAGGTGGAGGGCGGGATTTGGCCCTTGGGCCTTGTGATTGCCACCTGTGACCTAGACCGTAGAATCTCCAGTAAGTGTGTAAAACCTGGGTTAAAGCATCGACCTTTTAGTCTCATCGATTATAAAGTGAATATGGTAATTATAGGGTTTTTGCCAAGTGCCTGTGATCTCACATGAGAAAATATGTGAAAGTTCTTGGCAAACTGTAAAATAGTCAATATGGAGGAAATGTTTAAATTTTTTCATTTTTAAAAAATTCAGGTATAACTGAATACCTGAATAACATTGTATTTATAACATTGTATTAGACTTAGGTGTACAAAATCATGATTATATTTGTATATATTGCAAAATGATCACCACCAGATTTTTCTTTACATTAAAAAATTCAAGCATAAAATTCAAACGTAAACTAGGGAAAATAGTACAATAAACACTTGATTACCCATAAACGAGCTTCAACAATGATTAACTGATGGTCAATTTTGCTTCATTTCTAGCCAATTCCCCACATCACCCATATTTCAGGAAGGAAATCCTTGAGAGCATATATTTTATCTATATATATATTTCAATTCCTATATCTCAAAGGAAGAGATTCCTTTTAAAAACCCATAAATAACATGATCACTCTTAAAAAATTAAAGACAAAATTGACAGTAATTCCTCAATTTTATCAAATATCTTAATTTGAATCAGTTTCCCTGATTATTCTAAAAATGTTGAGTTCGGCAGGTCTGAATCAGTGTTAAATAAGGTTCATATATCGCAGGTGACTGAGATGTTTTCAATCTATCCATCTCTGCCTTTATCTTTTTGCTTTCATCTTGCTTTCTTCCCCCTGAAGAAACTGGATTCTATAAAGCAGCAGTTCCCAGACCTCAGTGTGCACGGGTGTGACTATAGTCACCTGGGGAACTTGGTGAAGGCCCTGTCCCGGGGATTCGGATGGAGGATTGCATTTCTGACAAACTCCCATGTGCTCCCGCTGGCCTGGGACCACGCCTTGCAACTCCCTGTCCTCACGTCCCACAGTCTGGCTTCCTCAATCTGTATCCCTGGGTGACCTGCCCTTCAACACGGTCATCTTCCATTCTCCTGCTCAGGGAAGTTCATTTAATTGCCAACAGTACAGCATGATAGTTACAACTCAGGACTTGGAGTTTTATGTTAGAGACACTGAGACCCAGTGCGGCGTAGTTTAAACCTCATTTTTGATACTTCTTTGCCATGTGACCTTGGGCAAGTCAGTCAATTGCTCTGTGTAAGATGTCAGGGTCATTTTGGGGATTACATGCGTTTTTAAAAAGTGAAGAGCTTACTCGGCATGGTGCCCGGAACACAGTAAATGCTAAATAAAAGTGATGGCAGTGTTTTCCACCAAGAAATAATCATGAGCTCATAGTCAGTGGACGGCCAGGAGTTTGTAGAGTTTTGTCAGGCTGTTAACGTCGACAGAGCCAGGGACGAGAGGAGCCAAAATGAAGTCCCCGGAGAGAGGCAGAGAGAGGGTGAGAAAGTCACGTCCAAGGCGTGTCCGTGCGGGGTTCGGCCCCTTTAAGGAGGGCGGGCCACGTGACCCATAAGGTCACGTGACTCTTGGGACAAGATGGCTGCGCCCGCGTTGGGGTCGCTGCGTGGGCGCCGTGCTGCGCTCGTGCTGCTAGTCTTGCTGCCGCTGCTCGTGCTGCGGGGCCGGGGGGCGGTGGGCGAAGAAGCCGGCACAGGCTCATGCGGCTGCGGCGCCCCCCAGCGGCCCAGGCCCCCCAGCAGCTCGGCGGTCGCGCACCGGTACTCGCGGGAGGCGAACGCCCCGAGCCCGAATTCCAGCCCGGGCCCCGGACAACGGCCGCAAGCGCCCGCCAAGGTGCGCTCTCTGTCCCGGGAGGCGGTGTGGGGGGTGGGGTGCCCCGCGGTGCTGCAGGGCCGGCCTGGTCTGGGCCAGGAGTTGGTAGGAAGGCAGGTCACGGTGACAGCCACACCCCAGGGCGCGCACCAGCTGATCCGGTCCGAGGATGAGTCCTGCCTCCCCGGGCCCCCTGGGTCTGGGGCGCGGCGTCCTTCCGAGCACTGGGAAGTTTGCCTGCAGGACAGTTGTGGCCCATTCTTGCCGCTTACCTTCCACTCCTCCCCCTTCACCCTATCCTGTTAATGCATTCTCAGACTTTCAAGTCAAGTGGGTGGGGATTTAAACCAACGCTCCGGGTCTCTCACTTCCGCAGGCTTATCGGGAGCCTCTTCCGGAAGACTGCGCTTCTGGACGGCAAGCACGTGTCAGCGTCGTCCTGTGGGCCCTGGCGCTGTAGCACAGGGGCAGGGTTCTGTGGGTGGCAGGTGCTTTCTCACTGCTCCTGATGGGTGACTTGCGCAGGGCCCGCACGTGTTAAGTGCTAGGAGACAGAAGTAACATTAACAACGATTACTTCCTTCCTCCCATCTGCCAGGTACTTGCGCAAGGGCAGGGTTGTGGAGGCAGGTTCAGGGACTGGGAACAGACCCTCTGACTCCCGAGGAAGGGCGCCTTCCTGTGTTTACCCAGGGTCACACCCTTTCTCCGTTTTCCATCCCACTGTTCTTTCCTCTGGGCTCATTTGGACCGATTTGCAGGCCTTACGTAACCGTCTCCCCATCCTGCTACAGCGGCACGGGCTTAGCCTGAGCTAACAGTAACTCAAGGCGCTTGTCTGTCAGTGTCTCTTCCCAGCCAGGCAGTTGAAGGCACTGGGGTCAGGACCATATTTGTGTCTCAGGTATAGAGTGTTAGAAGGCTGGTAGCTTTCTCCTTGTTCTCCATCGTGTATATTTATTGGCCTTTTAAGTTTTTCTTCCCCTTTCTCAGAGGATGACGTGCTTTGTTAGTGTTTAGCTTTTGAGTGGTGGGGAGCCCTGGCTTCTGCCAAGTGTGTGGCTATATATAATTGACTTCAGTTCCTCTCTCACTTGCATGCTACGTCATAACCAATTTCTCCCACGTGAGGAAGAAGCCCTGCGTCTGTTTATCTGCCTTGCAACTAACAGCACGGCTGTCTTATTTGCAGGTGCACATTGGTTTGTCTTGAAATTTCACTTACAGCCTCTGGCCAATACTGAACATTGCTCTCATTGAAGTGCTCCATCTTCCTGTCCGTTCTGCACTTACATGATACACAGCTTTCATCTCTCTAGGGTGGTCTCCTGTCCCGGCAGGGTGTTGCGTGGGTCTACTTTGGCTACTTCTTGCATTCACTTTCTATGCTCTGCAGGTATCCCAAGCTGTTAACGTACTAGAAGTTGCCCATAACACAGTGCGCAAACCTTGAAGGACGTGTGACCTAAGGACTGTACCTGAAGCAGCCTCATCATCAGGACAGGGTTCCACAGGTGGCGGTGCTTTATCTCTGTTTCCCTCGGGTGCAGATATTTTAGTTCATGCGCAGATGACGTGGGTCTCATTCCGACTCTTAGCCCTTTTTTTCTAAATTCAGAAAGTGCAGCGTTATGGGCTAGGTGCTTGGTTGTCTTGATGGCCCTTTTTTCTTTTCCTTTTTTTAAAAGACTTTTTTTTAGCAGTTTTAGGTTCACAGCAAAATCGAAAGGAAGGCACAGCAATTTCCCACATACACCCTGTCCACACACACATGCTCCCCCTCGGTGAGCATCCCCCACCAGAATGGTACGTGTCACCGCTGATGAACCTACACAGACACATCGTTATCACCCGAGGCCCACAGTTGTCCGTAGGGTTCGCTCTTGGCATTTCACATTCGGTGGAGTTGGACGGTGTATCTCAGTCATTGTAGTGTCCTACAGAGTCTCTTCATTGCCCTAAAAATCTCCCGTGACCCACCTGGTTACCCCTTTCTCTTCTCCCCATTGGCGACTACGTAGATCCTTCTGTCTTTGTTGTTCTGCCTTTTCCAGGGTGTTGTGTAATGGGAATCACACAGTGTGCAGCCTTTCGCCTTGGTTTCTTTCAGTCAGTAATATGAGTTTAAAGTTCCATGTCTTGTCATACTTCGTGCGTTTCTTTGCTGAATAATATTCCATTGTATCATGTCCCGCAGCTTATTCATTTGCTCCCTGAAGGCATCTTGCTTCTAAGTTCTGCCAACTATGAGTAAAGCTGCTGCGAACACTCATGCACAGGTTTTTTGTGTGGACTTAAGTTTTCAGCTCTGCAGGTTAAATGCCAAGGAGCCTGGTTGCTGGAGCAAATGGCATGAGTGCACTTCGCTGGCGAGGAGGCTGCTAACCTGACTTGGGAAGGGGCTGAGCAGGTTGTGTTCCTAGAGCTGCCTGCGAGAGCTTCTGGCGCTCACACCTCGCTGCTCGCGCCTCGCTGCGTTTGGCGGTGTCGGCTCTCCGTGTTTGGCACCGCTAGTAGCCAGGTGTGAAGTGATGTGTCATTGTTTGAAGTTGCTCTTTTTTTTTTTTGGTTGACATATGATGGTCCTTTGCCATCTGTAAGGTGAGGTGTTTATATATTAAGGTCCTTGGCCCTTTTTAAAATCAGATCGCTTGCTTTCTTACGCTTGCATTTTAAGAGCTCTCTGTGTGTTTTGGGTAAGAGTCCTTTATCGGGTGTGTCTTCTGCAAATGTTTTTTCCCCAGTCTGTGACTTGTCTTCTCACTCTTTTGTCATTGTGTTTTGAAGAGAAGTTTTAACTTTTAATGAGGTCCAGCTGAGCAATTTCTCTCGTGGATGGTGCTTTTGATGCGTTATCTAAAAAAAATATCGCCCTACCCAACGTCTTCTAGGTTTTCTCCTGTGGTATCTTCTGGGAGTTTTGCAGTCCTGCGCTGTGTATTTAGGTCTACAAGTTAACTTTTGTGGAGGGCGGAAGGGCTGGGTCCGGGTTCACGTTTTCACGTGTGGTGTTCCACCCCAGCGGTAGTGGAGACCATCTTTGCACCATCGCATTGCCTGTTTGCCGTGGTTGTCGTCGTCGTTTTGTCAAAGACCAACTGACTCTGCTTCTGCAGGTCCATTTCCGGGCTCTCCGCTCCGTTCCCTCGACCTCTGGGCTTTCTCCGACACCACACTGTTGTGATTGCCACGGTCTTACAGCAGGTCTAGAAGCTGGGCAGCGTCCGTCCTCCGACCTTCTTACTCTTCTTCAGTGCTGTGTGGGCTCTTCTGGGTCTTCGCCTCCGTATAAACTTTATTTTTATTTTATTTTTTTAATTTATTTTTTAATTGATTATGCCATTACAGTTGTTCTATTCCCCCCTTCATTCCCCTCCACCCTACCCTCCGTCCCCACCATTACCCCCCCTTTAGTTTATGACCATGTGTCTCAAGTCCTTTAGGTTCTATATTTCCCATACTATTCTTGCCCCTCCCTTCTATTTTCTATCTACTGTCTATGCTACTTATTTTCTGTACCTTCTCCCCCCTTCTCCTCCTCCCACTCCCCTGTTGCTAACCCTCCTTGAGATCTTCATTTCTATGTTTCCACTCCTGATCTAGCTGTCCTTTTAGTTTGCTTTTGTTTTAGGTGTGGTTGTTAATAACTGTGAGTTTGCTGTCCTTTCACTGTTCATGTTTTTTATCTTCTTTTTCCTAGATAAGTCCCTTTAACATTTCATGTAATAAGGGCTTGGTGATGATGAACTCCTTGAATTTGACCTTATCTGAGAAGCACTTTATCTGTCCTTCCATTTTAAATGAAAGTTTTGCTGGATAGAGCAATCTTGGTTGTAGGTCTTTGGATTTCATGGCTTGGAATACTTCTTTCCAGCCCCTTCTTGCCTGTAAGGTCTCTTTTGAGAAATCAGCTGACAGTCTGATGGGGACTCCTTTGTAGGTGACTGTCCCCTTATCTCTTGCTGCTTCTAGGATTCTCTCCTTCATTTTAATCTTGGCTAATGTAATTATGATGTGCCGTGTAAACTTTAGAATCGGTTCATCGATGACCATACAGTAACTTTGTGGAATTTTGATTGGGGTCGTATTGAATTTATTTTTTCTTTGTTTTCTGTTTTATGACTAATTCAGCAGATGTGTATTTGGCATACGTGAAAGTGTCCTGTGTCCTGGGCATAAAGGCAATGAAAAGACCCTTGCCCTGCCCTCCAGGGCCTCTGGTGGACCTGTCCCCCCCCACCCCTCACCCCCGACCCAGCTGCCATGGAACCCGCTTTCCTGTGGTGGGGGTGCTTCAGGAGGAGGGTGTACAGGGCACCTGGAGAGGGAGGAAGCCTTCATTTCTTCCTGGACCAGCAGGAAGCACCTCAAGGAAAAGGTCACTTTGGAGCTAGGCCTTGGAGGAGCTGTGTCCTGGGGCTGGGGATGGCGGAGCAGGTCGAAGGATGCTCCGAGAAGAAGACGGGATGGGCCCAAAGCATGTGTCTGGTGTGCTCTGGCCAGCGGAGGCAAGTGTGGTATTGGGGTGTGTGTGTGTGTGTGTGAGAGAGAGAGAGAGAGAGAGAGATTTGTCACACTTTCAATGTAACACTTTTCAGGTGTGTCTTTTTTTGGTAGGTTAATTTATTTAATGAGCTTTTGGCGAGTTGAGGGACACAAGGAAACTAATAGACTGGGCTTTACTCAGGGGATTTACAGATTGCCCTCAGAGTTAGGGCCTTACCAGTTGTCTGGGAAACAGTGTAGGTATTTTCAAATGTTAATTAAGTTCCCTGTGGTTAAAAAGTATACAGTTCCCTTTGAGAAAATGATCCTAACAGTTTTCTACACAGCTTGTTTTGTGACAAGGTATCAGGATGTTTCAATCTCCATGTATTTTTCTAAACAGTTGTTCAAAGGGCATTAGGCGTGTGTGGAGTCTGTATATTTGGCCGAGCTCCATCCGACTGCCTGTTGGAGGCGTCAGTGCGGGACTGAACACCCTTTCTTGGTGAAACTGCTCCGCCAGGAGGAAGAACTGGCTTTGCCACCCGGCACATCCCGCGGCATCTGGTTGGCGTGCGACGGTACCTCAAGTCTGTGATGTGTCATTTGTGTAGCTATGTGACATCTTGTTCTGCGGGGGGCAGGGGGAGGGGGTACTTTTAGACCCATTTCCATCTCTGTGCCCTCCCTTACACTTTTAGGCATTCCGTAACAATCCTCGAATGATCTGTTACCTTTTTTAATGGAAACAGTATCAGGCACTTTTAAAAGAAACCTTTGCAAAATATTCTTTTGCTGTAGCTCACCCTCCCAAGGTTCCAGTGAGAGATTATTCCCCCTTCACGGTAGAGGCATGTGCTGTGTCCTGGGATTAGAAATCCCAGGATTTGAGGAGAGAGTAAAAGCCTTCCAGTCCACGAGGGTCTGTGCAGGCGGGGAGGAGGGAAGCCTGCGTGGGCAGGTGGGCCGCGTTCCCCACGTGGGGCCTGCTGCTCCTGTTATTCACTGGCTGTCTCCTGAGCCTCCAGTGTTTAGGTTCGGGTTTGAGGAGGGGACAGATGGACAGATGGATGGAACAGGGAGAGGAGCTACATAAGGGAGTCACAGATAAACTCTCTCTATTTCTGTGCCTAAGGCAAAAATCTCAGGAGCAAGTGCAAGGAAAGACAGAAGGACTTTCTCAGAAACCAAGGTGTCGGAGGAGGGCACCCCAGGGGCTCTGGTTGTTGGCAGTTTGGGGGTGGATCTGGCTGAAGGCAAACGCAGCTGGGGGCGGGGCTGGGGGCGGGGCCTCTCCAGCCTCCCTGGGCTCTCATCCTGCTGGCTTTGTTTTCAGGTCGTGTGGCCCCCCCCCCCCCCCCCCCCCACTGCTTAAACGTCTGGAAGGGAGAGAGGTCCCCTCCCCTGGCAGCTCCAGCAGAGGTGCTGAGACTCCCCTTGGCTGGGTTTGGGCCTGGCCCCGGCACAGCTCTGGTGAGAAGGACTCGGTGATGGGCCGGGCCTCTGTCCCGTGAGGTGGCGTGGAGCCGCCCGCCTGAGCTGAGAGCCGTAGTCGGAGACGTGGTTCCCAGGGGGCGTCAGGGGCTGTGCAAAGGAACCAGGGGAACGGGTGCCAGGTGGGGAGGAATGATAGGTGCCCACCGCACTTGGCCGGCGTGGGCGGCCCAAATATGGTTGCCGTTATTCGTGACGCCCTCTGAGCCTCTGGCCTCAGTGGCAACGGCAGACACCCAGACACCGGGGCAGCGGTGGGTGGGGTTAACTTGCTCTTAGGGAGGAAAGGACCGTCTGAATGTGGCCCTTCAGGACAGACCTGGTGCAGTCAGTTTGGCTTTGGGGCGGGTGAGAGAGTGGCCGCCTGGTGCTCTGGGCTCACCAGAAGGACGCTCTGCCCTGCGGCATAGAACCCTTTGTCCGTGTGCCCTGGGGACTGCGGCCGCTCAGAGCACCAGGCTCTCTTTTTCTGTAGCCTCCAGAATGGAAATGTGGCCTCTTCAGGGCCGGTGGCCTCTGACGGCGGATGGAGGAAGGGAGAGCGAGGCCCAGGGTCCACAGTGGGAATCGTGGCTGGCTGTGCACAAGGGAACTCGCCTCGAGGGTGGAGAGGGTGGAAACGAGGTCTCACGCAGTCTGGCTTCATCAGGGACAGTGCACAGGGCCACTTTGGGCTCGTCTGTGGGCTAGGGGACAGCCGTCTGTCCCCGGGCAGGACCTGCCTGTGTGCAGTGGGAAGCTTTCTTCCTGCTGAGCTTTCTATGAAACCTTTTGTCAGATCGTTTAAATAATAACTGTAGCCGCTGCACTGGAAGCTTCGGTGCAAAGCCTTCTGTCTGTCTGTCAGTCACTCTGCAGGGCTGTGTACAGCTCTGGCCTCCGTTCTGAGGACGCAGTGGTCCTGGGTCCCGGGTGCCTGCGGAGGTGGCGAGCGGGCGGGGTGAGCCTGGTGCAGGCTCCATGTGGGGTCTGGTGGACAGACCCCTCTGTGCAGACGGGCTCTCATGTTGGGGACGGTGCTGCAGAAGAACGGGATTTTCAGATCGTCATTTTGAATCGTTCAGATGATAAGGCCTTTGTTATGTTCACCATCTCTCTCGGTCAGTCAACAAAGAGGGTTTTTTGTTTTGTTCTGTTATGTTTTTGGTGTCTGCCGTGAACTTGTACCGCCACAGGTCTTGAGAGAGAGAGATGTGAAAACTGCATTTCTGGTTCTCGGGGCTGGGTGCCAGGGAAGGTGAAAACACATTGTTAAAGTGCCGTGTGCATGTCACTTGTTAGGACAGATGAAGGGGTTTCTCAGAGGAGCCCACATGGGGGCTTCCGTCCCAGCTGGGAGGGAGGTGCCTGTGTTCACAGACGCTGGTTGTGGAGATGCTGGGGCGCAGTGGCTTTTCTTTGGGTGTAAGGGCAAGAGGTCAGGGGCGACGACTGTGTTTGACTGCCCCAAGAGGCGGTGGGGGTGCTCAGGGCATTTAGGTGGGAAGGTATTGATAGTTTGACCACAGTGACCCTTAATCCATTGTTCCATTTGAATGGTCAGGGCACATACCTGGCTTAGAAATAAAGGCCAGTGATACAGAAGGGGGTGTGGTGTGGCGGTTTCTGCTTATCTGACACCCTTCCCCTCAAACGACAGAGCGAGAGTTGCTCTTGTGTCTTCCCAGGCCTGCGTCTGCAGACCGAGGTGGATACAAAAGTGGGTGGTCATGGCTGTGCGTCCCCCTCGCGCCCTTCACGTGCAGGGGGAGCGAGCTGTGGTCGCTGAGCACTTAGCCGTGGCGGGCTCGCTCCAGGTCAGCTTGTCAAATGCATCACTTCCTTCTCCTGTTTTCTTACGGCTGCTTGCTCTTCTGTGCTATGGATTGTGGACGGCCCGCAGTTTCCTTAACCATTCCACAATTGACGAACGTCCAGGTTACTTCTAATCTTTTCTGTTACAAACAGAGCTGCCGTAAATGCACTGGGTGCCACAGACTGGCGTTTCAGAAAGTTCAGGAGGGCTTCTGGGGGCGGGTAGATGAGTGGATGAGGGTCGATGGCTCAGGAGCAGGGAGTGGGCCGGATGGGGGGACCAGGCGACCGCAGTGTCTGGGAGCAGAGAAGGGCCGGCTGGAGGGCGGACGTCCGGGAGGTCCCGTAGGACTTGGTGCCCTCCGTCATGTTGGGACTAGGGACGGACCAGGGGACGGAGCAGCCAGGCACTGCTTCTCAGGACAAGTGATGGGACATTTGCACCCACATGTCGATGAACGTGGCTCTGTGTCCGTTGGGAAACGCAGGCGTGGCCTTGGAGGCAGCCATTGGCAAAGACGGTGGAAGCACAGAAGGGCTTTTGAAGGGGCCCAAGGAATGGCAGTCAGAGTCTTAGAGAGGAATTAATTAGGGGCAAGGACGTAACAAGGACAAGACGTGGTCCCTTAGTATTTGCTTTACATCATCTGTAGCATTGATTTAAGACTTTTCCACTCTCATCGGAGGCCCACGTTCATTCAGTGAGTTTTAAAAGAGGCTGCACGGGCGTTTCTTACTTTTGCTTTTAACCATAATCCAGAGAAGCGCGGTAACCGGCACACGCACGTGTGAGGTGGTGCCTCCCTGCCCCTGCACACGGCCGACGGCAGGACCCGGCCGTCGGGGAGTTGGCACATGTCCCCAGGCCAGTGTCCACGGCACGTTCTTGTGGGTCGTGTAGAGTTTTGACCAAAGACACCCCTTTTCTAAAGAATCTGCACTTCCTTTTGTGACTGGTCCCTCACACCCTGCGGGAGGACGTGACCCCCGGACAGGGAGTCCCGCCTGGGGCTTGCTGCCTGCTGGGTGCCGGCCGTGTGCTGGGCTGCCCGTTGGCAGGCACACTGATGGCTGCACGCCCGCGTGTCCCCTCTCACCGCAGATGGTCCTCGTTCCCGCTGGCGTGTTCACGATGGGCACAGACGACCCTCAGATCAAGCAGGACGGTGAAGGGCCCGCGCGGAGAGTCACCCTCGACGCCTTTTACATGGACGCCTATGAAGTCAGTAACACGGACTTTGAGAAGTTTGTGAACGCCACCGGCTACCTGACCGAGGTAACGGGTCAGGTCGGGGCGGGACCGGGGGGAGCCCCTGTGCACCACTTCCTGCCACGCACCTGCACGTGCTGAGTCAGCGCTTTGCCTGCAGAGCATCTGATTTAGGTCTCCCAGCACCTTGGTGCGCAGGCCGCTGTTCAGGTGGCAGACTGAGGCTCGGAGAGGTGACGTGCCCTGAGGTGCGGGGCCCCTGCCTGGCAGTGTGACCGGCCCATGTTGCTCACCATTGTTCTGCTCCGCTGTGCTGGTGCTTTGATGGGCCCAACGCCGCCGCCGTCAGAGGCAGAGATGCAGCTTCTCATTTTTTCTGCTCTGGTGACTGGTGGGCTGCCAGGGGTGGGCAGTGTTGGCCTCCTGTGACGGTCAGGGACCCACGAGCCCAGCTCTGGGAGGGGTGTCCGTTCTCCCCGGGCACAGGACGAGGGAGGCTGCGAGGTTGGGAGAGTCCCAGTGAGGGTCTGAACCACGCCTGTGCTGTCGGCTGCCACTCTCCTCTTGCCAAAGGACTTTGCCCGGCCCTCATCTGGGGAGTCCCTGGCCCTTCCCTCCCCCAAACCCAAAACATCTTTTTTTTTTTTAATGGAAAAAGTAGCTGAGAGTGAGTGCTGGGGGCAGACAGTCTTCAGATGGGGTCTTGTCGTGCTGCCTCACTCCTCGGCGCTCCCCAGTGCGTACGAAGTGGTGTCTTCCTGTGCCTGTTTGTCCGACAGCAAGCAGAGCGGTCCCTCTTCTTTCTGTTTCCTGAGGACGCCCTCAGGTCAGGTGTATCCAAAGTCTGATTAAGTCAGCAGACGGCTTCTGAGGACAGAAGCTCAGACCAGGGACCCCAGGAAGATTGGCTGCGCGGAATGCAGGACGCCCAAGGGAGCGGGTGGGAAGATCGCGTCCGGCTCTTCTGCCCGCCCTCTAACTGGGGTTTCGCGCTTCGGCTGCGAGGCAGACAGCCAGCGCCAGGACCCGGGTCTCGTCACCGGCAGAGCCAGGCACTCTGTCTCGTTGCCGCTGCCTTCGGAAGTGCGGGAAGCGGAGGCCTGCCGCCAGCCGTCAGCGCGGCGTTGATCAGGAGCATGTGCGTGCCGCTCCGGCGCACGTGGGTTTAACGTTTCGGCGCTGCAGTCCACCAGTTTCATCTTGTTCTGAGAAGGGGGCCGTCTCCGTGTTGCCATCTGCCAGAGGGCCCGGGGCACACCGAGGGCAGCAGCCCTGGTCTGGGTGGCCTGCCTCCTCTGCGGGCCACCTCACAGCATCTTTGTCCCTCTGCCTCCCTGTTCGCCAGGCTGCTCTTGCTCCCCGAGTCCCGGCCCTGCTGCTCGGGCCTCTTTCCCCGGGACACTCGAAGCTCTCTCCTCTGTGGGGCCCACATTTCCCCTCTTCTTGGGACGTCACGCTCCCTGCTGGTTCCTCGTTGTGCACAGTTGGTCCCCTCCATGTGTCATCTCAGCCCAAGTGTCCCCACTGCTCAGAGGCGTCATCTGCTGGCGCTGCCCGAGGGGCCTTTTCTCTACACTCTTTGCCTCACAAGGTCAAGTGAAGGCGTGGTTATTTTCTGTCTTTGTTTGTGTTGGTCTTTCCCCCCCATGTGAGTGCTGTAGGGACGGGGACCATGTCTGCCTAGTGCTGACCTTGTGTCCCCGTCATTGAGCCAGCACACAGTAGGACTTGAAGGGTGGCAGTGAGTGAAGGTTCAGGCAGGCGTGGGGCACCCGGGGACCCAGGAGGGGGAGCAAGGGGACAGGGAAACGGTGACCTCACCCAGGAGGAGGTGTTTGGGGTGCTTGTGAGGCCTGAAACGCAGGGGCCCAGGAGGCAGGCAGTGCCCCTCGGGGACGGGGCTGGCCCAGAGGTGGTGACCTGGAGTCGGCGCACAGGCCTTCGTTTTAGGGCCGTGAGATGGAGAGGTTGTCCCACGGGGTGGCCTCCTGGAGACAGTCGGTAGAATCACCGGTGCGGGGACCATTTTTACGTGTGGGTTCCTGGGATGGTCCCAGGCTCTAGGACTGGGGGATGGGGGCAGTGATCTGTAACAAGCGGGCCGGGGGCTGTAGGGCACAGCAGGCAGAGCAGGGCGGGGGGCATGTTTGGGGGCTGGGGTGGGGGAAGCCTGCGCATTTCAGGAGGTGAGCAGCAGAGTCAGATGTGGGGGGAGCCAGGTGGGGGCGCCCGGAGATCCAGTCTGTTTCCCATGGAGAGCCGGGGCTGAGGGCTTGAGGCAGCGATGCTGAATGAAGGTAATGGGAATGCAGGTGCCTGCCTGGGGCTTGGTGTCGGTGGGCACAGCTGACACCTTCGTGGGGCTGGGAGGGGTCAGTGGCAGCGGGCAGTGTGGTTTAACTCTTTCAGCAGGCCGTGGGCCAGGACGAGGGCAGTGGCCGGTCACAGAGTCGCGTGTGCACAGATGCTGCTACTCGGCAAAGTCCCCGTGGTGCTGGGGGGGTGTCTTTCCTTCCTTCTCAAAAGCGACTGTCGTCCTGTCGGCAGGTGCGTCGGCCAGACGCGTGGACGTGGTCCCTGTCGAGTGACCCTCCCTCCCTCCGAGGGAAGCCGGACGCCTCCCAGTTGTTTCCGCGCCCTCTGGGTGGCCAGCGGAGGGACGTGGGCGTCTCCGAGCAGGAGGAGTCCCTGCGGCCTCTGCTGGACGCTGCCCCTTTTCCTTGCAGGCCGAGAAGTTCGGCGACTCCTTCGTCTTCGAGGGCATGCTGAGCGAGCGGGTGAAGACCGGCGTCCAGCAGGCAGTAAGTGGGCGCAAGGGGTTGGGTGAAGCGCCTCAGGCGAGTGCCCCTCTCTCCCCACCCTCACTGTGGTTGTGCCCAGAAGGACACGGGGCCCGGGGTGGTGGCGGGCGTGCCAGGTCTGACTGGAGCGACCACCCCGCACACCTGAGTGGCACCCTGTGGTGCAGAGGGGGGGCCCAGCCGGGCTTTAGACAGGCCTGGGTGTGTTTTGCTCATGGCTGTGTCTAGAGTGGAGGGTTCACGTGGCCCTTTTGTAACCTCTGTCTGTAAAGTCGTGAGGTCATCAGGTGTGGGGTGGAGAGAGCCCCCTGTGTGGTCGCGAACTCCCATGAGCACAGCGTTGTCCTTCCCGTGGAGCCGAGCCCTGGACCTGGCCCTTCCCGGGCTTGCCTGCATCGCAGGGGTGAGGGGCGGTCCTGGACCCGGGGTTCAGTGCGTGTCCTCAAGGTCACCGTGGCAGCAGTGAGCCGCACCTCCACCACCTCCTGCATGGGAGCAGGCCCTGGGGTTTCTGTGGAGGCAGCTGGCAGGGCCGCGCGTGTGTGGGTTTTCCCACGTCTCCTGGGGAGGCAGAGAGATGAGGCCGGGAGGGAGAGCGGTCAGCTGGACGGCAGGTGCTCACAAGATGGGCCCAGAGTGCCGGCAAGGGCAGGGCTGGTGACAGGGGGTGACAGGGGGCAGCGGGTCAGCCACTCGAGGGCGAGGATGGCGACTCGGGCACCAAAGACGGGGACCCAGCCCCGTCCCCCTGGGCAGGGGTCTGCCCCTGGCCGGCAGCAGTGTCCCGACACTGTGTCCTGACGCACAGGCCCTTTCTCTCTGGAGAACGCTGCAGAGCGTGGGGGGGGGCAGCCAGGTGAACCCAGACCCGTTCTCCAGTCGCGTAGGGGGGAGCCTGGCCACCCCTTGTGTGCACTGCAGAGAGATGTCTGAAAGCGTGCGGGGCTCTGTTTGAACGTCACAGTTTTCGTGACCCGCTACAATCTCCTGTTACGGGTCTCTTCTGTGATCTGACACAAAGGGGTTTTTTGAAGGGCTTTGAGGTCAGATTGGCCTCGTGCCATTGGGTCAGCGGCTCAGGATGTGGTCCCTTGTTGTCAGTGGGATGGGGGGTCCAGGCTGGGGCTGTGCCCTCAGCTCTGTGTGTGAGCTTTTGGACACAGGCCTCTCACGCTCACAGGTCACTGAGAACCTCGGAGTGTGTCCCGTGCAGGGGTGGAGGCAGAGCTCGGCTGGGACGCGTGTGCCCTGGGAGCCTCGGGGGCTGGTGCGCCACCACCAGGGCGAGGATGAGCAGCTGCCGCTGACCACTGACCGCGTTGGCCCCTTGCCTCACTGCTCACAATGGAAATGCAGACCCTTGAAGTGCACTCAGAAAGGGCGGGAGCCAGTACAGTGGCGCCGCTGACGGGGGCGGGGGTGGAGCCCAGGGTCCGTTTTCTCAGCGCCCCCCAAGGTCTGATGTGCCCCGACCCTGCGTTCCAGGGTGGGGGACGCCAGAGGGCCCCGTGATGACTCACAGGGAAAGGGGGTGGGGGGGGTAGTGTGACAGCCCGCGTTGCCTAGTGAGAACGTTGCTCCCACCTCGGTGTCCCTCAGACCCCGATGAAGGCGGGGCGGAGTCTCCTTTGGGTGCTGCACGTCGGGGACACCTGGAAACACACGTCGGTCTCCTTGTCAACACGGAACACGGGCCTCCGGACGCCCCGCAGAGGCGGGCTAGCGTTCAGTAGTGCTGTTCACTTTCATGTAATTATTTTAAATGCAGTCATCTTATTGCTTTCATGTAATCAATTTAAATGTAGTTATCTTATGGTATTGCTTTCATGTAAATATTTTAAATGTTTTTTATAACTACATTATAATCATGTTATAATTATGTTAAATATGGTAATTATGGTGATGTTCTATTTATGACAGTTTACACTAGTGATGTAAATTATCCCTTGAAAAAGCCCTTTTTCTTATAAAATAAAACACAGGACGCAGCAGTCACAAAAGCGAACGCGCAGCTCGCTGAGCTGTCCCAGCTCGAACCTGCCATTTCCGTCTCCGAGGTCGGGTTAGGGCCGCGCCCCCTGCCTGGGATGCTCCGTCTTGTGTTTCCGCCCTGTCCCCAAAGTAGCTTTTTCTTTTTTAATTTTTATATGTATATATTTTTAAAGATTTTATTTATTTATCTTTAGAGGGGAAGGGAAGGAGAGAGGGAGAGAAACATCAATGTGTGGTTGCATCTCATGGGTCCCCTGCTGGGACCTGGCCTGCAACCCAGGCATGTGCCCTGACTGGGAATCGAACCGTGATCTTCTGGTTCACAGGCCCGTGCTCAATCCACTGAGCCACACCAGCCAGGGCCCCAAAGTAGCTTTTGAAGGTGATGCCTCCCCACATTTCTTCACGTATGCTATTGTCACCAGCTGCGTATCTCAAGACTTCTGTGGTTTTGTCTTGCCCGGTTAAAGGGAATCGGTGTCTTTTAGTCTCTTAACCTACAGGTTTCCCCTCCCATTGCTCCCCTCCCCCCTGTTTTCCTGCTAATGGTTTGTCCCTGGAAGGGTCCGGGGCCTTGGCCAGGGGATTCTCCAGGCTGCGCACTCTGCTGCCTGCCTGTCACCTCGAGGCTCGCCTGCTCCCTCCGCGTTCCTGCACACGGGCAGCTGGACCGGCAGGCCCGGCTAGACTTGAGCCGGAGCCCCCGGCAAACCCTGACATCGGGGCAGCTCTTGCCCCAGCAGGCTCCCAGACTCTGCCCCCCTCTTTCCGGGGTGTTACCTGTCCCTCGAACTCAGTGCCTGGATCCGTTCCCTCACTGGGGCCTTGAGAGGCTGGTCGTTAATGGCCTTTCCCGTTACTAATCGAGGAACCTCTGTACAGATGTGGTTCCCTCCACCCGCTGTTTTCTCGCCCGTGGGCGCTGTGCCTGCAGGAAGGACGGGGTCTGGCGGAAGGAAGGCCTGCCTGGGTGTGGCTGGGGGGGTGACGACACCGGTGTGACGACTTACATACAGATCTAATGTGCACAGTTCACCGAAAATGCCCTGTGCTGTGTGCGAGTGTCCTGTTGTTACAGAGTGTCATGCTTATGACTTTGTAATGAAAGGGGGCATCGTTTGTGCCGGACCCTGCAGTTTCCAGCTTTTGTGATAGTGAGTTAGTTACCTACTACTCTCCAGAAGTGACCCGTCAGATAAACATAAATAAAATCTTAAAAAATAAAGATGATTGTAGGTTTATGTGTACTCATGAGAAGTAACACAGCAACCCCGTGAACCTCCCCGCCCCCTCCAACGCTGACATCTTGTGAACTGCAGTGGTCTCCCAGCCGGAGGGTGACCGCTGAGGGCCTGCTCATCTTTGTCTGATTTCACAAGTTTTATGTGCGATTTGTATAGTCACCATATTATTCAAAAATATTGTTACAAATTTATGGGTTTAGAAATATTTCATGGACCTTTCGACGGTCAGATTTTGCTGTTTCTGGGGGAGTGCCTCTTCAGGTTCTCCTGAGTCTTTTTTCACTCTAGTTATTTATTAATGATATTCGTACACTTTTTTCCCCACAGTCTCCTGTGGCGACCGTTAGCTTGTTTTCTGTGACTGTGTGTCTGTTTCTGCTTTGTTTATTCATTTATTTTGTTCTTTCAGATTCCACATATAAATGGAATCATGGCATTTGCCTTACGCTGTCTGGCTCCCTTCACCGAGCACACTGCCCCGCAGGCAGTACCACGCTATGTTGTCCGTGGTGTTGCAAAGGGCCGGGCTGCGTATCCTTCTTGCGGCTGAGTAGTGTTGTGCCGGGCCTGTGTGTGACCCCGGCGTCTCCCTCTGGTCGTCTGTGGGCGGGAGCCTGGGCCGAGCCCCAGCCTCGGTGGCTGTAGATCACGCTGCTGTGAGCGTGAGGGTGCGCACGTGTTTGCAAATGAGTGTTTGGGTTTCTTTGGACACGTGCCCAGAAGGGGCGTCGCTGGCTCATGAGGCAGCTCTGTTTACAGCGTTCTCGGGGACCTGCACACTTTTCCGCGGGGGCTGCAGCGGTTCGCACCCCCCACGTGCTCTCCCAGCCCGTACCCTCAGCAGCACTCGCCCTTGGTGGGCTTCTGAGTGACGGACGCTCTGGGACCCGGGAGGTGGGCCTGCACTCTCGCCGCGTGTGTGCAGCTCACCGCAGAGGCAACATTTAGCACCTGGAGGAAACAGACGCCTGGGAGCCACCTGTGGGCTCCGCCCCCGCCCGCGGGGTGACACTCGTCCCGATGGTGCGTCTACCGACAGCGCAGAGGCCCGGACAGTGTTACCTGTTTTGCCTGTCTCATCCATACTTTGTTTATATGTAATTTAAACAGTTTCCTCACACGGGCGCCATTGCTCTTGCTCTGTTCGTCCCCGAGGTCCCGTGTCGCCCTCAGGTATCCTTCCTCTTTGGCCCCAGACACCTGCCTCCCCGAGTGGCCTTCACAGGGACAGTTTGGGGTAACAGCTTTTCTGTCACCACTTGGACGTGTCCTCGGCCCTTTTCTGCTCCGGTGGTCCCCCCGGATCGCTGTCCTCTCCTGCACGTTGCCTCATTTCTGCCTGGCTTCTCTCCAGGTTCGAGAACAGTCTTTCATCTTTTGACTTTGTTTCAGAAGTTTAGTTTGATGCGTTAGGCACTGTTTACTTAGAGGTGGTCCTTTCGGGGCTCGCGGAGGCTCTCGTGTCTGTAACTTTGTGCCCATGGCCGCATTTGGGGGTTTTCGGCCCTTTTTCAGGTGTCTCCTTCCACACCTGTCTCTCCTCCCTTTGGGGGCCCCCGTGCGTGGATGCCACGTTCCCCGGGAGGGCCCTAAGCCTGTGCTCACTGTGTTGAAGCCCTTTCTCCGTCCGCCCTGCCGACCGTCTCCTCTCTGTCGACGTGTCTTCAAGTTCCCCACTTTTCTCCGTCCTTTTCATTCTGCTCTTGAGCCTGGCTGGTGAATCTCACTTCAGATGGGGTGTTGCAGCTCTCATGGTTTCTTTTC